AGCATATTATTACTCAGTTATTCTCAATGTGGCAGTATTTGATTCTCCATCATGAATTCTAAAAGTTGCAATTATAGACTCAGATGAAACGGAATATGTTTTTTGACAATAACAAATCACTGCCGCTCGAAATAATTAATTTTAGTATACCTGTATAATTTTAATTTGATATAGATACCATATAAAAGTCACTAGTTAACCACAAGTTATTCAGAAATCTAATACGCTGTGTTTTAATGGTTTCTTCAAACTACTTGGGAATTTCGTCTCTTTACTCAGAGGAAATCATATACTGTATATTGATTGCTTTCATAACTATCAGATATTTAGCCATCTATTCCATCAATGTGAGGTTGTAGTTTTATCATTTTCTGTTATAGACATGTGATCATACACTTTTTATAATCAACGTAAGTGAGCTTATTCAATACAATAGTATAACGATCAATTTATGTACTGAAATTAAATCTTAATTTTCATTAAGTAAAATAGTTTACCGATATTTAACGTGGGTTTGTATTTTAAATAAAATACACTAATCAAACTAACTAACTGAACTATTCAATTAGCTGTTATACGGTTTGATTTTACTGCGTATGATGCTTATTGTTCTTATTTACTAAGTTAATTTATGCAATTACTTTTTAAATGAGTGGTGTGTTACTAATCAAAAAGGCATAAATTTCGACGCTCATTATCAAACAGGTTTATAAGTGAACATTGTTTGAAATTATCATTTAAGTGTACCTTAGTTTTTTGTTGGATGTTTATTTAAAATTAACCTGTGATATAATTGACAATAGTGAGTTTACACTTCACTAAATAATAAGATAAAGATAGATAACAAATATTGAAAACACATGTTATGAACATTCTTTGAAGAAGTGGCTTACACTAAGTCACAAAACGTCAGAAAATCTAACTTTTCTACTCATTAGGATATTATAAATATATTATTTATTTATAACAATCTACCTAATGCTCAATTTATTCAAAATTATTTAGAATCACAGTTGAATAAGCTTGACGTTATATTAATTAATAGTTTGTGCTAATGATGTCGTTCAGAAGAACGATAAAAGCTCCACGGCCAAATCATCCAGCTCAGAGAACAAAACTCCATCAAAATTAATTAGTATCTTTCTTTTACATTACTATTTTTATAATAATTTGATAATTTTTGATGATAAATCTGTTATATTTTAAGGAATTGTTTATATAGACATAAGATAGAATTTTTGATACCTCACAAAAATATACAAATGGATGTCTTAATTAACGCTGTTTATCTCGTTTACATTTTGTAAAATCAAGAAAAAAATAAATCATTTTTGTGTATAAACTCAATTATCTTACCTGGTTAACTATTGTTCAGTTAAAATTAAATCTATTCAAATAAGATAATTTATGTTCTTACTTTATAATCTCTGTGATATTTATATGTATATATAAATATATTTTCTCCAGGGGTTTGAATTGCTTAATTCCTTAAAATGAAACCTTGATATATATATATATATATATATATATATATATATATATATAAATTTTATTTACATATTGATTAGATTTGATATGAATGAAGAGTTGAATTTAAGGTAGATACTGATTTTTATTGATTGAATATACCCTCATTTAACTGTTTATCTATCTTTTAAAAATTATTTCATATGAAATGTAATTCTTATCAATAGAGATGTCAAGGCTAATTTGTTCGTATAAGTTGTGAAGTTAAACTTTCTGTTTTTGTTTCAGAAAACGTTAAAATGCAAATAAGATTTCAAATAAACAAACGAAAAATAAACAGTAATCAACTAGTAGTTTTGCAGTTTTTTGTATTCATCAAACATAAAATATAAGACTTTCTATTATTTGAAATGAACTACAAAATGTTTTTTGAACATATATTCAAAAAGACTTTAAACAGTATAATCACCAAACATCTCTTTGATACAGGACATCAGGTAGATACCTTGCAATCGTTTAAGGTGATTTGTAAGCAGCCAAACTCCAGTCTTTTGAAGTTTACTAAAGCCGTTGTCATCAGGCATCAAAAACCTGACCTATGTGTTCAAAAGAAGACGGTTATTAATATTTCATTCTTTGATGACAAATACTTCTTCGCTGCATGTTAATTTTTTTTTCTTTTTCTTTAAACTCTTTCTTCCATTTATTACATCATTGAGTTTTATTTTGACTAACTTCCAAATTAATAATTCTATTTCATCAACTGAGCTCTGCTGACAATAATTACTTACGCCTGTTACTCCTAATGGAACATAGGCTGCCGACCAGTATTCTCCAACCCACTCTGTCCTGGGCCTTCTACTCACTATATTCCTATCAATATTTATTCACTATATAATCACTTGTTTCTAGCCGTTTGAACTGTTGTCACAATCAATGTTGTTGCAGGTAATTATTTCCACGTAACTGAATTTTTCACATAATTTGTAGTTAACTGACTCATTTTGTCCTATTTCACAAAAATCAACGTCCAAATTTGATTGGTTTAACAAAGTATAATTGTGATTGTTAAAGGCTGGACGAAACGCTGAAATTTTTTAAATTTCAATCTCTGAGATTATTTCAAATATAATTTTCATATATAATATAAAATGGTCTTTCATATAAGGCATATATTTACAATGTTCAATCTATTAATATAATTTACGCCTCTGCTGTACTATACGATTATGTCATTAATATAACTTCCAACGAAACACTTTTATGTAAGTAATTAAAACCCATTATGTATATAACAGGTTGTAAGCGACTGACGAAAACCTACGAAATAAAATGAATTCATGCTATTCTGCTAGAATGTTTGTTCTTGCCCTTTTCAAAGTGATAAAAGGAACTATGTGTATAAAAAAATGTTTTAACATATTGATGTCTCATAGATAATAAAGTTTTTTCCAAGTTTTAACTAGACAACAAAATAAGATTTTTAATGATGTAATAGAAACTTAGATATTTACATAAGCCGGCTAACCTTTATTATTACATATTATAATGGATATATTAATCTTGTAAATAAATGGAATAGTTGTGTAAACTTAATTAAATAAAAATACTATTTAGATAATGCCAAACAATCATGATAATTTGTAAGGCTTTTTATCCATTGAACAAGTTAGTAATTATTTGAACTTAGTAGCTTAATGATTACGCGTTGGCATTTATAATAACTGGCACATCATTTGAATCTTACAATAAATATTAACACTAGAATACAGATATGTCCATCTGACGAGTTTCAAATAGAACGATGAGTCCGTCTTGAATTCGACTGCAAGTCATTATCAAACATTACTACTTCATATAATCATCCACTGAAAATATGTATAACTTTTTCGGTTTAGAAAATAAGATAAAGATCTAATTATGCAATTAATGACTTTTAAGGTGTTCTTATTCGTTTCTTTCACAGTAAAGTCCTTAAATATGATTTGAAAGGGATAAAGTTTATCACATTCAGATTCATCAACTATTTAACTAAGGTTCCAAATACGTTCCGTTTATAAATGCTGACAAATTTAAAATTTAGGTTACAAAATTACATTGAATTTTTCTGTAGGAATTAATATCAAGTGGGTAAACAAAGTCTTAGCATTATATAATGAGCCAAGTATTTTTAACAATATAGTGATAGATTTCTTTGATGAAGACATAAGAATTGAAATAGTAAAATACTTTCACTGTCAAAATCTGAAAATTTTGTTGTATATTGAATTGTTAATGTTATGTAAATGATAATTTTAGTCTAAATATTACGTTTTCTTTGAAACATACTGCTTAGATTTATCAGACAAAATAAATAATTGATCTTAACTATTATAGTTGTATTTATCTACCACCCTTTTTTGTCTCAGATTTATAAAAAAACAGATTCCATATGATCAACTTTTTTTCATTTTTTTTTCTAATCAGTTAAAAGTTATTGTCCGAATAAATTTTGAGTTGCTTAGCTGTTACACCCAAATATCTACTTAGTAGTTAGGTTGTTTGTTTGTTCTTTTTAATGAAAATCATACGGTCAAACAACTTAACTAACGAATTAATATTTATCTACGCAGATAGCTTTAAGTAAATCATACAAGTGTAGTATAACCCATTCTAATTATACTATTTTCTTTTTTAAAATCATGTTGACATTTCAGCTTTTCTTGTAGTCAGATAATTTTAATCTTTAGAAGATGATCCACTATGTATACTTGAATTCAATGTATATTTTCTTTTCAACCATCAGTTCGTAGCGATTTTATAGTTTGTTTTTCTTTTCATTTTTTTATATTTTCATTTTTAAAAAAATATATTTGAATATCATTGAAATTAAAGAGAGAATAAACAGAAAATAATTCTGTCAATCATTCCTATCAGTGTGTTTTTTATTTATACAAATTGGATCAATCTAAAAAATATTTAACATGACCACAATGAAGGATAAGAATATGAAATTTTGTTTTATAGCAGTTTTCACTAAAGAAATGGCTTGTTTATTTGTTTATTTTGTTTACACTTTAATATTAGAAAGAATAACATTGAAGGAAGACATCTTAATTGTTTGAATTAAAAATTAAATGAATAAAACGAATTTTATTAGCACACATATCTTATGTAGAAGAATTAAAAGATAATTTTTCTTTTTTTTAAAAAAAGAAAACAAAACAAACAAACAAAAGATTAAAAGCAAATGAGCGGAAATTTTTTTTCAAATAAGAAAATTCATGCTAAACTGACTTAACTATTTTTACAAAAAAAAACGTCTACATAAAATAAATTACAAACTATGCAAAAGAAAATACTACATATTCTGAACTAAATAAGTAGCATATAATGTGTAATAGTAGTATTAATATTAATAGTAGTAGTAATAATAATAGTATTAGTATTAGTAGTAGTATAAAAACAACTTAAAAAGGTCTATGTACATCATTATTTCTTAAATAAAAATGTAGAAACAAATTAAACATTATCAAAAGTATTATTATTGACTTTTAGCTGTTTATATTATTCATTGTATCTAATAAAGATTTTCTCTCATGTTCTTCTTCTACAATATATTCATAGTTTAAAGGAGTAATAATTTCCTCTTGTCTTTGTAGGCATGTTTTAAATGAGGAAGAATTTCGATAAGGAATAGCAATCGAATTCATACTTTTTGAAAGATTGGAATAATTTATGGAAGTTTGTGTATAAGGATTAATGGGATATTGAATTTTTTTAGGATCGTGTATTATTTCTTTCATATTATTATATGATTTATAACTATGATCTTTATTATTATTATTATTAACTCTTTCTAGGCAACTTTCTGAATAAGTTGACAATGCTTGTTTATTTGATAAAATATTAAATGATGATGTAGATTGTAAAGGAAAACTTCGTCTTTTCGTTAAAGGAAATTCTTCAGTATGAGATGTGAATTGTAATTTTGAATATGTTTTATGAGTATTATCATTATCCTGGTTGTATATAGTATTGTCTGTAATAACTTTTTCATTGTTCGGATAAATATTTTTCAAGGGTGTTTCAACATCAATACTTTTCCATCTTTCGTTTATCAGTGATAATGGAAAATTGACAGTAAGTGAATTTCTTTCAGATGCAGGCAATTTTTGTTTCTGAAACTTATTATATGATCTACGTTGAATCACAAACACTTTATCCTCTGATAATTTTGGATATTGTCCTGTTGTTGTTGAAAAAAGTGTATTACACTGAGTTTGATGATTTACTTTATCTGAACAATTAGTTTGTTGGATGTATTGGTCATTACTCGGCAGTGAATGTTTCACATTGACATCAGTATTTTCTGCTTGACAACGATATTTAAACATATAATCAGCTTTTAAAATATTGATCAATCTGTCAAGTTTCATTTCAACAGTATCAATCTAAAATATTAGAATGTTTTCAAAATTAAAGATTTTTTTAATGTTTATACTGAACAAGAGAAGCAATTACTTACTCATTACTCAATTATGTAGTTTAATTTGAAAAACGGACAACATAAAGTTCCATTAAAACAGTTTTTTATTTTATTTTGTGTTGAAATTTTGATGGAGTTTTGTTCTCTGAGCTGGATGGTTGAAATTTCAAAAGATAGTAACCTCATGAATATTCTAGAGTATAAGAATAATAATCTACGATAACTCAATGATAAGTGGTCATGTAAATGGCTTGACTACTATTTTGAAACATTTGAAAATCGATATAAAAATTAGATATCATGCTACATTTCATAGTACTAAACAGATATGGATAAATAAAAAAATCAATATTTTAATTATATAAACTACAATGCTGGGAATAATTGTTGAAGACCCGTTTCGATTGATTGTTTGAAAGAATTAAAATTTTAAATTGTCTTACAGGGTTTCGTTTGTGGTTGAGTAATATTTGCTTAAGCAAAATGTACGTTTAGTGATCTATAGTTTTTACAAATGAGCTTTTAATTAATTATTATTTCTAATGGCGAACATCACCATACCTTTTTTCTAAAGTTGACCATTTTACTTCTTTCTGATAGTCGTGGCGATAAGATTTTTCACTAAAATTTTTGTTACACCTAGGATTTTTCATTTACTCCATTGTACAGCATCGTTTTGAATACATGCCTGTCTAATGCTTCGTCAAGTTACATACAGTGATTCATTACCTTTAAACATTGTGTCAGTAAATAATTGAAATTTCTGTTTTAATTAAATTTTAAGGTTTTATTTCACTAACTATTATGGACCAAATATGCTAAGCCCTTTTTTAGAAGTTTTACTGTTGGTGGGATAACTTCAGAGTATAAAACTCAAAGTCCTTATGATATGTCAATGAATATCACTAGTAACTTGAAACACATCTGTATTACGAAGATTGTATTTAATAGAGAACTGTAATCAGTTCAGTAACGTCGAGCGATCACAGCTCAAATAAATCTGATTTAGAATGGCAAACTAAATTAGGACCTCATTACTGAGCTGTTGTGTCATGGACCAGCGATTATCATAGTAATCGGATAATGGGAAAATATTGCTTTAGTTTAAGTATTTGTGAATGAATAAACAGAAAGTAGTTTTAACTACAAAATTTGAACTCACCTTATGTTCAATTTTCACAATTCTTGATGCTAAACATTGATGTGAATCATAGACATCATCACCTTTAGAGCCAGGTCTTCCTAAAATTTGATCTAATCTAAAAGATGGAATTATTTGATAAGAGTTTGAAACATGTTTATGAGCTGTAGTTGTGTAAGGCTTACAAACGAATACTTTTATGTGTTAAAATATAGATCCTATGTTTTAAATAACAATCTGGAAATTATGTTTCTTTGATGGCAATTTTTCAACCTCGCTGGAAGTTTGGCAATGAAACTCAATAAAAATCGGTTAGTTGGAAGCAGTCGAATGGAGGTTGTGAATTTCGTTTCACGGTAGCCAACACTCATCAGTAGTGTATATCTGTAATCTTGAAGAAAACAATATCCGCTTTAGGATTTTAACTCACATTGTCTAAGGTCACAGGTTTTACTAGAGAGATATTGGTGCTGGGATGTAATCTACTGGAGGACTGACATGTTTACTCTAGTAGTCATTGAGTAGACAATAATATTACTCTTTTTAGTTCTTAGCCATAACTGGAACTTAGCAGCTGGATTGTGATTCTATTTCTACACTTTGTATTGCGTTGATGGGGTACTCAGCAGGAGGATTTCAGCTACGAAGAATCATTGCTCTTTATGGGTATCTTTCATCTGGGATACTGTGTAGTTAATATACCATCAAGTTTTTGCTTTTAACAATTCATCCTTAATCATGTTTGAATGAAATTTGTATTTAGCACATTTTCATATTTCCATTGTGAAGTTTAAGATTTTAATTTGTTAAGTATACTATTGCACATAAACGCAAGCTGAATATAATCTAGTTGTTTCGAAATATACCGTGAATCTATTAGACTGTGGCTAACATATGTCATAACCTTTATATATAATGGTCATCAAGAAAAATTATTGGGGTGTCAGAATCCCGGTTTTCAACTTTAATATTCAAAAAAGTTTACTTTCATTTCGACTGTAGTATAGCATATATACATTAGAGTAACACTAAATTTCATCAATAAGTTAAAGGTCTTACAATTAGATGTTCAATATATTTAGTAACAACAACGAAAGATAGACAAAACAAAGTACTGAATAGAAACATTTAATTACCTCGCTTGAAGTATTTTCACTCTAGCCAACATATCAACATGTCCAGCTGAATACTGTTCAATTACATCTTTTACATCATATGGTCTGAGCGCTTCACGAAATTTTCTGCGTGCTACAAAAAATCGCAGCTTGCGAATTACACGTACAGCAATTTTTTCTTTTTCAGTTAATGGATGCATAATAACTTCAGATCCACGTGATGAGCATAAATATGGATCATGTTGAAACATTGTTTGACTATTAAAATTTTGTTTCTGTTGCGCTGAATGATTCCCACTTTTTGATATACTGATATGTTCACTTTGACTAGTAGACAGTAAATCAGTTGTGCACAGTCTATCATTTGGTGTTTGTACTTTTGTTAAGATTGGTAACAGTTCATTTGATGCTAAAAAATAAGTTCAGCATATTGAGTAAGCAAAGTCTTGAGAAAATACAACACTGAATATTTTAAATGCACAAATTAATATTTCTCTTGCTTAGTTTACAGTTATACATTATATTACGTCATAAAGTATATTTTTGTTTTCAAACTTCAAAAGCTTGCAGTAAACGTTTTAATGGTGTGGTACTGAGTTGGCATCCAATCACAAATACTTCCAACTTCAGTTGTTTCCCAGAATCGTGCTGCCATTATTGATTGCCATCAATGGCATGGATCAGTTGCCTCAGTTACTGTTTCTCACTAGGTCTCTAATGCTCACTGATTTTTAATGGCCAGCTAGCTAAAATCAGTTCATGAGGTATCTAATTTTCACAAACCTTCGATTTTGGTGATTATAGAGTAAGACATTTCATCCTCAGTTAGACAATAAAGCCATAACTGATTTTGTAGATGTGTAATTTAACGCGTCTTACAGTTTAGTTGTAATTTACAAATGAATGCACTTGGTTAATGAGTTTCTGGTGTTTAAATTTTGTATAGCTTATTAATATCAGTTATAACTTATTTTAATTTCCATTCTTAATGATGTATTATACGTTTTGAAAAACAACTGCTGTATTTAAAAGACATACTATTGAGGATAGTATAGAACCTTATTTAACTGTATGAAATAATAGTATAGTATATCCGTTGCATATTTCATTGGCTTATGAAACCTCTCATGATTTATTTTAAAATGTGTATGATTTGTTGGACTGACTGTTAATTTGATAATCATATCCAGCTTTGAAAAAGTAGTGAATTTTTGTACGTCATTGCAAATATAAATTTGTATTTCGATCATAGATATCTAAAATGAGTTATAGTTGCAGGACTGTGTTATTTGGATGAAAGTGTCATTGAATAGCATACATATTCAAAGTGTATTGTTATCAGTGACAGTTTATAATCTGAAAGTTGATTTAACATCATGACTTAGTTTGACTTTTTATGTTGATAGGAAATTAACATTTAATGTTATACTAAAAGCTCAACAGTAAATGCTTTCACACAATTTACCCTTATTGATTGGATACTGTTATAACTCCAGCGTTCTTCTAATTAGATAACTAAAAGATGAGATTTTATGGAAATATAGGACTGATTGTTACATGGGGTGATAATGAATTTAAATAATCTATTAAAAGTTAATCAATTTTGATGAGGGTCTTGCTTCGCATTAATCTTTATTCTAACGGGTAGTGACTGTAGATTAATAATATTTACTCGAAACTATGAAAATCTATGATAATGTTTGTTAGCATATCTAGTCACTTAGCTTAGTATTTGTATTCCCATTCTAAAGACATGAATGTACATTTGTAGTAAGCTACATTGAATATTTTGATTACCTTGATTTTTATGTAACCAATTATGTGAATTAAATTTAATTAAGGAATCTCCATATGTTACACAATACCATTTTGAATGGGTTATGGGAATGAAATATTAATAAAAGCACAAATATGTCAATTTTCCAAATAATTTTTATTGATAATTACATAGGAGTTATTGTCATTCTAATTACATTTAAAAATGGGATTCAATTAGTGGTTATGTCACAAAACCTATTGACTTTAACGAACTAATTAATCAGCACAGAGTTAAGATAAGTTCATTGATAATTCACATTGTTATTGAAATTTCGCATTACAATAGGTAGAAGTTCATAGTTATGAAAAAGCTTGAACCAAATGATCGGGCAAAACTTTGGATTTACATCAAATTCATTCGCTCAAATATTACAAATACATACTTCCTCTTTAATATCTTCTATTAACTCAGTGCCCAACTATTGTGAAACTATTCGATTATATTTAAACGAAAGTTCTTATATTATTTGAATAACAATGTTTAAAAAAGTATAATGCTTTACTTACAATATAGAAATACAAATCAAAGAGGGGTTTTGTGAATATTATAGGAATTTCAATAGTTGAATTCATGAGTCAATTGAAGTTAAACCAGGTTTTCCATAATGGTCTAGCTTCCATTGACACATGAACTCAACTATTCAAAATATAAATATCCACATTTATGAGTTTTTTTCTCTTTATTGTAAAATAAAACAAAAATATATACCTTTTACTATTTTCTCGTCTAAATCTGATGATTTAACAGGGTTAGGAATATTTTGCAAACTATAATGAAAAAAAAGAAAAGAAACATAAAGAATTCATAATATGAATTGTATTAAATGAATCTGTTTTAAAAATAAATGAGACCACTTGTTTGTTTGTTTTGTGTGTTCTTTTGTTTTGTTTTGGTGATCAAGTAAACAAAAACATTGAATATGTAATAAGAGTAGTAGCTAACTAATAAATGAGTTTGTATACTGAACAATTGTCATATGGGAATTTATATAATCTCAATATTTTGACTTATATATAAATGGTATATTTTTTCCGTTTCATTAACTACAATTAATTGGCAATAAATCTTTTATTAGAAGGGGTTTTGTGGAGATTTTTTAGAAATTTCAATTATTGAAATCATGAGTCAATTAAAGATAGACCACTATGGAGTACCTGGAAGCACTGAACGGCCGTTTCGTCCCAGTATGGGACTCCTCAGAAGTACGCACCCACGATCCCGCCCCCCACGCGAGTTTCGAACCCAGGACTTATCAGCCTCGCGCACGAGCACTTACCCATTAGACCACTGAGCAAGCCGGCTTGCAACGGTGTTAATGTCTAATTTCTACCAATCCACGGAATTAGGCCGCCCCTTCTGATAATAATCATCTGCTCACTAGTGACTGACTCCAAGCAAGTACTTACTTACTTACTTACGCCTGTTACTCCTCGTAAAGGAGCATAGGCCGCTTACCAGCATTCTCCATCCAACCCTGTCTCGGGAAATCCTTTCCAGCTCTTCCCAGTTGTTGTTCATCCTTTTTATATCTGCTTCTATTTCCCGACGTAATGTGTTCTTTGGCCTTCCTCTTTTCCTCTTTCCTTCACGATTCCAAGTTAGAGTTTGCCTCGTGATGCAGTTTGATGATTTGCATAATGTATGTCCTATCCATTTCCATTGTCTTTTCCTAATTTTCTCTTCAGCTGGAAGCTGGTTTGTTTTCTCCCACACAAGGCTGTTGCTGATCGCATCCGGCCAATGAATGTTGAGTATCTTGGGTAGACAGCTATTTATAAATACTTGTACCTTCTTGATGGTGGTTGTTGTAGTTCTTCAAGTTTCAGCTCCGTACAACAGAACTGACTGCCTTGAAGTTCGAATTGAAGATTCTGACTTTGATATTGGTTGAAAGTTGTTTTGAGTTCCATATGTTCTTTAATTGAAGGAATGTTGTCCTTGCTTTACCAAGAATTGGTCCTCGCCTTTACGTCTGCATCTGAACCTCCTTGTTCATCGAGGATGCTTCCCAGCTATGTGAAGCTATTCTACATCTTCCAGAGTTTCGCCATCAAGAGTGATTGGATTGGTGTTCTCCGTGTAGTATTTGAAGACCTTGGTTTTCCCCTTGAGTATGTTGTGGCCACTTCAAAGACGTAAATAATCTTTAAAATGTGTTCATCAGGAACTGTTAACTGTGATTGTTAAAATGAACGAAAAGCAAGAAATGCACAGCACATGTTTAGTCATTCAATTCTTTTAATATGTTCTGGTAGCTGGTATATTTATGTGTTTCGCTGACTTAGAGGAAAATAGTTCAGTTTTTCATTACCTTGCAAGAATTTCCACAATACCTAGATATTATTATCATTATTTAAACACATAAAAATTTTTACAAGAAGGCGCAAAATAGATATGCGCCACACAAATCATTCGATTTTTGTAAGGGCTGAGATACTGCCAGGGTGATTAGACCGAAGCAAATGGTTTTCTTATCGAAGCAAGTCTTAACTTGAAATCATGAAGGGAAACGGAGAAGAGGAAGGCCAAAAAACATATTACGTCGGAAAGTAGAAGCAGATATGAAGATAATGAATAGCAACTGGAAAGAACTGGAAAGGATTTCCCAGAACACTTTATTTATTAATTATTTATTTGAACATATAAACATTGGTTACAAGGAGGCACAAATTAGATATGCGCCACACAAATCCTTCTATTTGTGTGAGAGCTGAGATACTGCCAGGGTGATCAGACCGAAGCAGATGGTTTTCTCAGCGGATCACGCCCTGAGCCTTTGATCTAAAGGACCGATCCAAGAGGCAGTGGAGCAACATAAGGAGATACAGACTCATCGTAGCCGGTGACCAACGATTGGTTCATAGACCATTCGTTCCATCAGGATCCTGTAGCCCATGTAGACGATTGGTTTGGTATTAGGATTTTCCAACTCCCTTAGGTGAATCCTCCTGAGTCATAAACTTGGTTAAAGTGCCGTACATTCGCTATTCATCCTCTCGATTTCGTAAACAACACCTCTGCCACAAGAAGGCAGTAATTAGGACTTCCCTATCAGTGATTGTATGCACGTGGTCATGTGAGAGAATTTCAAGAGGGACAGCAAACTCTCTTCATTCTCAACCATACCATGGCATTTGGTTTCAGAATGTCTAGATAATTTGTTATTATAAAATTAGACCAGACATTTTTAATGTAAAGATTCAATTATACAAGTATAACATTTATTTATCTATTCATCAAACTTTATAATATTAAAAGAATTTTCAACTCAGGTTAGACAAGATTTCCTATATGAAATATCAAATTATCAAATAATGAAATTTTAATAAAAAGAATAATAATCTTAAAGTTTCAGAACTAAAATATTCATTTTGTCATGATATTGATTTAAGAAAATTTTTTGATAAAATTAAAAAAATTTAAAAATAAAAAAATAAAAAAAAATTTATTTAATACTTTAACAGTTGAAAAATTAAAACATTAATTAAACTAAATTTCAATGAAGTAAATAAATTTGTTTTTATTTTTATTAGACAGTAATGAAGATGTTCTATGCTACATTTTTTGATATGATTAACATAGATTTTTTTTTCTTCTTTTTCTTTGAGTTAAATAAATATGTCAAGATTGATTTCATTTTATTAATTATATTTATCAAAGATTATTATCAATTTAAATGTTAATGAAAATTAGATAGCACTAGATGGATGAACTGCTTGTACAGGTTTATGCGTCACTAGTTCGATTAATAAGTCACTGCAATCTAATTGGTGATATCGTTATGTTATACAATAAACAGGGCATACAGGTCACAAGTTATAACAGAATAGAACTATTTAAAAGTAATTATTTGGTTTCTTTTCACAAATGATACTTTAAGTGAAATATATTTGTGATAAACACAAACTACAAAGATTATATTTAATGATGAAATTTATATTTATCATTGTTATTTGCTTGATCGTTTAAAATAAGTAATATTGTGGTAAGAGTGAATTCTTACATGAATAACGTGTATCTCTTACATTAAAGAGGCTAATAGACGTTAAAAACTAAACCGTTCTGAAGTTTACTCAGTTAGTCAATCAGTCAAAAACGTAGAATTCGTACGTATGTACATCATTTCCAGTTATCATACTATGTGTCATTTAAGGTCTCTAACCATCGGTCGCTATCATCTCGCGGATCTCAAACAGGTAGTCTACACCTACCTACTTCATCAATTGATTTGCCATCCTTACCTAGTACCCGTTTCCTAACAATTGCATTACTTACTCGATGGTTCCAGGATATACGAGCAATGTTTCGAAGACATCTATGGTCGAATACTAGTAACCTACGAATATCCTCTACTCTTACTGGCCATGTTTCACTGCCATAAATTAAGACGGAACGAACTGCTGCGCAGTAAACCCGTCCTTTGGTTGATAGACGGATATCTCGCCTACGCCACAAATGACGCAAGTTGGCAAAAGCTAGTCGAGCATTCTGTATCTGTACTGAAATTTCGTCACACATCAGAACACATGGTGTGATGAGACTTCCAAGATAAGTGAAGCGGTCGACACGCTCAACTACTTCACTACCTATCACTAGTTCGGGTGTCGATGCAACCCAATTCTGATGCAACAGTTTGCATTTCAAGCAAGAGAATCACATGGAGAACATGCTTGGATTGTTGCTTAGAGTGGTCAGAAAACTCTGCATTTTTTCAGCGTCTTCATCAAATAGAACGATGTTATCGGTATATTCTAAGTCAACACGTGAACCTTTCTGTAGAAGTTCAACCCCTGGAAATTAGGATGTGGAAAGTGTTATCGCTAAAAGCACATCAACGAAAAAGTTAAACAAGAATGGAGAGAGTGGACATCCCTGACGAACACCACTTAGGGTAATCAATTCTGATGACAATTCTCTATATGCTCTAACTCCGCCAGTTGTGTTCAAGTAGAGATCCATTATAAGACTCTCTACTCTACTGAAGCATACTAGCAGACTTTTGTAATTTAACAAGAAGCATAGAGGATATGAAACGATAATCATGTTCTCTTATTAACAATTTCTGTTTTTATGCTACGTCGGAAATGGTCTGTTACTGGAAGGGTACTTGATTGAAAAACTGTTTACTTTAGAACTAGCAAACGGAAGTATAGAAATTTTATAATAAATATATTTTTTGTTACATCTCAATGAGTAGAAAATTGTAATTCTGATGTTTCGTGACCTAATGCAAGCCACATCTTCAGAGTATATAAATAACTGTTTGGCCACGAAATATTAGAAAAACAATATTCTACTCAATCGGAAATAACATATATATTTGAATATATTTGTTACCAACGTTTTACTTAATGCTCAATTTATTTAAAACTAATATGTCCAACCTTGGCATTGATGCCTATGAAAACGTTTATTAATATTTATGCGTTTTAAAAATTTATCGATTGACCAAGAAAATTTTTAGTCACATGTATGTATCAGACCTAACCAATATCAGAGTGCCAATCTTCAATGCCAACATCAAGACAATCAGTTCTTTTGTACGGAGCTGCAACTTGGAGAACTAACACAACAATCATCAAAAATGGTACAGGTATTTGTAAACTATTGTCTATGTTAGATACCCAATGTTCTTTGGTCAGATACCATCAGCAACAGCATACTATGTAGGAGAACAAACCAACTTTCATCTGAAGAGGAAACTAGGAAACGTCTGAAAGTGGATAAGATACACATTGAGGAAATCATCAAACTGCATTACGAGGCAAGCGCTAAATTAAAACCTTGAAGGGAAACGAAAAAGAGGAAGGCCAAAAAATACTGTGTCGAGAATTCGAAAAGGATGAATAACAATTGGAAAGAACTGGTAAGGATTATCCAGGGCAGAGTTGGATAGAGAATGCAAAAGATTATTTTCAGGTAACCAAATATTCTCGGTTTAAAACGTGACCAAATTATTTAATTTTCTAAAACTAATTAATAAAACAAATATTTTATAGTATTGATATCAAATTTAGTAAATTAAATATACTGGTCTATACTTTGAATAGAAATTCTAAACAAAAATATAAGCCATAAAGAAAAAGAAAGACTAAAACCAAAATTTACTTACTTTGTGGTATCTTCATCATTTATAAATGCATAAATAACATCTAAATCTTCACTTTTAACAGGTGCAGATTTTGGTGTTTCATTAATTGGATCATCTGTTGATATAGTAGGAACAATATTATTAACATTTGTATTTGTATTGGAAGTAGTTTTTTCTGAACGACGTTTTAATGTTGAAAATCGACCAAATCGAGAAAAACCACTTCGTTCAGTCATTGAATATGAATTAGTTAATCTAAAATATATAGAATTTATAAAGTTTTAATAATAATCATAATCATAGGAGTTCCATCAATATATCTTTTCTTTCTGAACCTTTTAAATGCACCTGCATCTCAGAGTTGATGTTCACTGTAGGACTCAAACTCAGTAATGTTCGCTTCAAACGCTATCGCGTTATCCGCTTAGCTACTGATTCATGATAGTCACTTGCTTGTGCGATGGGGTGAAGTTGAAATTCACTTAATATTGTTTACTTGAATATTCTCATTGGTGTTTAGTACTGAAATCGATCAGTCTCTTATTAGCATATGTGCATACTGTGCGTATTGCCTCGATGTTGACTGATCAATTGAAGTACGAAACATCAATGGGAAGATCAATTATTTTATTCGTAAAACTTTCATTAGTTTCTTTAGGGTTAAGTTTAGCCCTAGAACTGAAAATAAGGAACTTCTAGAATGACTTTGGAATTGTCGACGTAATCCATTCAGTCAGGAAACAGCATAAAGAGAAGAGTAAACATTAGTATATCCAAGTACATTTCAAAGAATCTATGGCTAAAAGGTCCTACTTATTCGATGGCCGTCACGTTGATGATGTTGTTAAATCTTTAACGATTCTTAACAAACAAAAATGTTTAACCCCATTATGGTAAACTGAAGCAGTATTCACTAAAAAGTTTTAAATTATATTTGTGTTATGAAGGGTATAGCTCACATGTTAAACTATAAATCCGAATAAAATATCTCCAATTTTTACTATTATTATCGTTTGTGTTTTGTTACACAATCAGCTCAGCTTATCATCACTGCATTCAGATTACTATTACCTGTTCATTTATCTATCAATTTTACACACCCAATACTTAAGCATAAGTAACATCTCCAAAACTTTTGTAGTTATTGTACAATCAGTCTCATCAATTTTCGAATTGTAGATAGTTATGGCGAGACTACAATTTATGGACAAACTAATCAGGTATATGATATCAGGTCTCCGATTTTAGTGAGAAATTCATTCATCTATTTGACTAAATAGTTTTGGCGTTATAGATTATGTCAGTTCGTGATCAAAACACTAAATCTAATTCTTAACCTTAAACATCAACTGTAAAGGATAATCCTGATTCCTCACACTGGTTTATAACCCTCATTTGTCCTAATTATTAGATGGATACTATCAAGATAACTTTAGCATTGCTCAAAGGTCATCCATAAATTATAGTCTTACTATAACTATTACTTTACTCAATTCATATTTTCTGTTTTCTTTCAAATAACCTTGCAGATTTATCTTAAATGACAGGTAGTTTTAAGTATTATGTTAGATTTTTATATGAATACATAATATTCTGCACCAGCTGTTGTTCTTACTTTGTGAATTAGAACAGCATATATAAGTGAACAATATTGTTTTCAATTAGATTCTCATTAGGCTTTTTCTCCAATATTCAGTAATATTTATATGCATAAACAAAATTATTAAACCAATCAAAGCCGTTTATGAATCAATGATAACAATGGAATAGATTACATAAATAAACAGAATACATAATAAGTACAAATTATTAATGTGATGATCGATGTACTAGTTGTGGTAAGAATAATAAAGATATGATATAATGTTTCAGAATGGGAAATAGGTTGGTGATTTTAAAAAAAAATATGGACGCTGAAATAACATTCATAAAAACTATAGATTACGTAATACGAAGTGTTCAGATAATTGAACAGTGAAGCGTATATTTGAGAAAAGAAAAGGATAGGATGGTGATGTGAAGAAAAATAAAGGAACAAAGAGTAGGGAAAATAATAATAAATAAAATCTTACTTTGTTGAAAATACGTTAGAATTCACAAAGAATACGTTATTTTTAAATGATTAATGAACTTTTCCAAGTTTACCATAATTTCCTAACTGGCAGCGCTCATATAAAATATTATTCTTCGTATTTATTGTCAGTCTATGCAATAGTTTAGTTTTGAAAATCACAGCTATAAATCTAACTCAAACCGTAAACTTACCCTTACACAAATTCTAATGCCATCCTCAAACTCTAACCTTAAAAACTTGGTAACATTTACAATTGATTGATCACTGGGTGATCAATGTCATGTATTTCAGGTCTTTCTTAGTTCAAATCGAATCCTATCGATTAAGTTTCCATGTGTACACCAGTCTAGGTTACTCGATATTGAGTGCACTATATTCAGATAAGATGGTGGTTGACGATTGGATAATAAATCATAGTCCTATATGTCGTTTCGTTGAAACATGTTATATGGTTAATCTTTAAATCGATTTTAAATCTGTAAAAAAAATTCACCAGAGTACATTCATGGATTTCTGGAGACCCTGGAAATTGTTCTATGATAAAAACAGCCATTAAAATTATGACATGAAATTATAGAACATCAAGTTCAATTGAAATATAAAAATATATTTCGATGATGTAATTTATCTAAAATAACAACTGTAAGTAAACATACTTTTCAGAAAGAAGGTTTTGTGGAGATTGTAGTAATTTATTAGTTGAATTCATGAGTCGATTAAAGCTAGATAACCATGGAAAACCTGGAACCAGTAGACAGCCGTTTCGTCCTAGTATGAGATCGTGGATGTGTACTGCTGAGTAGTCCCATACCTGGACGAAACAGATATACAGTGCTTCCAGGTTTTCCTTCGTGATCATTATTTGTTTCTGAATTTCGTATCATCAGAAGAGGAACAAAACAATTTCATACCTGAGATAAAAGTTTTCTAAGCTAATGAAGAATAGATATATACTGTGTACATTTATAAAATGATTAGAGTGAACTGTTTGTTCTTGTGTTCATTCTAAGAAAGGAATGACACAAATTGTTTATGAACACATTAAAAAACATAACTACCTTATCACTGTATACATGAACATCAATTTCATGTTCACAACGAAAGATAACAAATTACTAATCTGCTATATAAGTAATAAATTAACCATCAAGATATATGATAGATATTTTGTGTGTAGATACACTTGCAAGTCAACCATTACAAACAATATTGATCAGCATATTTCACGTTATTCATGTGATTCTCTTATAACAACACTGAAGAATTTGTAAATCAAGATAAAAAATAACAACATAAGAAAAAATTAATAAAAAATAAACAAATAACCACACGGAATTCGTCTTCAATTTGAAATAAACAGTAGTAAATCATTCAAATTTGTATTACGAAGCAAGTCCTAACTTGAAATCATGAAGGGAAACGGAGAAGAGGAAGGCCAAAAAACATATTACGTCGGAAAGTAGAAGCAGATATGAAGATAATGAATAGCAACTGGAAAGAACTGGAAAGGATTTCCCAGAACACTTTATTTATTAATTATTTATTTGAACATATAAACATTGGTTACAAGGAGGCACAAATTAGATATGCGCCACACAAATCCTTCTATTTGTGTGAGAGCTGAGATACTGCCAGGGTGATCAGACCGAAGCAGATGGTTTTCTCAGCGGATCACGCCCTGAGCCTTTGATCTAAAGGACCGATCCAAGAGGCAGTGGAGCAACATAAGGAGATACAGAATCATCGTAGCCGGTGACCAACGATGAGTTTATACACCATTCGTTCCATCAGGATCCTGTAGCCCATGTGCACCATTAGTTTGAAATTGGGATTTTCCAACTCCCTTAGGTGAATCCTCCTCAGTCATAAACTCGGTTAAAGTGCCGTACATTCGCTATTCATCCTCTCGATTTCGTAAACAACACCTCTGCCACAAGAAGGCAGTAATTAGGACTTCCCTATCAGTGATTGTATGCACGTGGTCATGTGAGAGAATTTCGAGAACGATAGTTTACTCTCCCCACTCTCGCCTGTACCAAAGCATTTGTAGGCTGCCCAGGACAAGATTGAATAGCGAGTGCTGATGGGAGGCCTATGCTCCTCCACCAGGAGTAACAAGCATAAGTAAGTAAGTGAGTAAGTAAGTAAGTAAATAATTCAAATTAAGTGTACTATGCCAATTGATCAATTTAAATTTAAATCATGATTTTAATTGAAAGTTTATTAACTAATTTACTGAATCAAGTCAGAAGCTTCAAAGGTTTTGTCCCCACCAAAATATATATTTGTAATACACTATATACTATTAGTATGGAATTATTAAAGGTTTCATTAATTATGAAGTCAAGTCGTTAAATAATTCACTTACAGTTTAACCTAAAAAAGAAACATTAAATAAACAATCAAACCACTAATAGATTTACGAGATTTATAGGAATATATTGAAAATTATGGATTATTTATGCAAAATATGTCAAGGGATGTAATAATATTAAAGTATTTGAATCAAGTCAATTTAGTATATAAAATTAGAATATCTAATTAGAATAATGATAAATGATTATAGAAGTAGAATAAATAAATAATAAGTAGTATATATTGTTATTGGATAAAAATAAATTTCATACACATAGTTCCGTTTATTATCTTAAATAGAGCAAGAACAAAGATTGGTGTAGAATAATATGAATCCATTTTATTTCGTTAGGTTCTCATCAGCTGCTTACAATCTAAAATATTTGAAAATCAGCGTTATTACAGATATTCACATACTTATACATAAGAGGGTGATTAAAGATGAATATACGTGTATCATGATGTAGCGAAGATTTCAGTAGAGTTAGTATGGTCATAAAAAAGTTTGTTTCAGATAAATAAAGAACATTGAATGATTGTTAGAAACACATGGAGTTAACAATGGAAATAGATTAATGGTAATAAAGAGAGATATGAATTGAGGAAAAATGACAATGACGTAATTTAAACTTCAAAAAGAGTTAAAATAATGAGTGACGTAAGAAAAACAAATAAAAATTAAAAAGGGGGGTAATGTTACTAGGACTAAGAATGATTTATTATTGTCTCTTTTTAGATACACACATCTGGTTTTAAATGTTTGATTGCTATCGCTTGGGCGAATTTCAAAAGTTTGGAGTTTTACTGTTTGTTAATCATCTTGAAGGACTTCCGTGTATTGACTTCGTGTCCTGTGTCAAGGAGATATCGTGCGATGGCACTGCTGAATGCTTTTAATCCGTTTGATCTTAAACTCTTCAAAATATGTTCTTTGAATCGGACGTAGGCTCTCCTTTCTGTTCTATTAATGTAACTGCCTTTGCAGATACACGTAAATTTATATACACGGTTGGTGTTAACATAAAAAGGAAACCTGTCGACCTTAGATTGTGTCAAAGAACATATTGTTTTGAACAGGACAATCAATTTAGCTGTAGGATATGTTCTTGTCAATGCAGTTTTTACTCTCATATTGACTAACCCTGTGACATTATCACCTTTGAATTTGAGTTGAATAAAAATAGGCTTTTTATTTGCTGTAGTTTCTTTGGATTTTTTTATCTTCATGTTTTTCATATGAATTCATATTATTGTGCACCAATAATTGTTCTTGCTCTATTTAAAAATATATCCAGTTGATTTGATATTTTTGAAGTGAAAACAACAAATATACAATTCAGTAGTCGAAATCATGAATCATTTGAAGCTAGAATACCATGGAAAGCCTGGTAGCACTGGACGGTCTTTTCATACTAGTATGAGACTCCTCCTCCTCCCCCCATCGAGAGATTCGGACCCAGGACCTATCAGTTTCGCATGCGAGCGCTTAATCATTAGATCACCGAGCCAGCCGGCATCCAACGGTACTAATGCCTAACTTTAACTAGTCCATGAAATTGCGCCACTTTTCCACGATTGTCTTCAGTGAGCCGATATCTCACAACAGACCTATTTGAACTCCACTGGTCACGACTTTTCACTAGAACTCCAAGAAATGCCTCTTGAAGTCAGTCACTAGTGAGTAGATGATTATTATTAGAAGGGGTTTTTGTGGAGATTTTAGTAATTTCAATAGTTGAAATCCTGAGTCAGTTGAAGCCCCCCATCCCCCGCGATATCATGGATGAGCACTGCTTAGGACTTCCGTACCAAGACGAAACGGCCGTTCAGTGCTTCCAGGTTTTCCACGATGATCTAGCTTCAATCGACTCATGATTTCAACTTTTGAAATTACTAAAATATCCACAAAACCCCTTCTGATAAATATACATTTAACTACAAATAAAATAGGAAAAATTATAAAATATTCAATAAATAATAAGATGGAAAAAAAAATTTTATTCACTTAGTTACAATCAAGGTTAAAATGAGTTCAGTTTCTGTGAAAGAATAATTCATCTAATTGAATTGGTCTCTATGAATGATGTTCATTTGAGTCTTTTCAGTAAATAAATACTTTTAATGACTTATATTTTTGTAAATAGAAAGTTATACAGCATTATTGTACGACTATTATTGGTTTCTAGATACAAAATGAGATTGATGATCTATGTCAAATTGAATGAGATACATATTAATCACAATTATTTTTAAAAAAAATAATATTATTATAAACAAAATTATTTTCACAAACCCAACAGGTTTTCTAATAGGTCTCATATGAATTTTCCATGTTGCAACTGATGATGAATGAGGATCTGCAGCATAACATCTCCATAAACATTGAATTAATGTAGCAGCTGGAACTCGTCTTCGAATTAAATGTTTTTGTCTTTGATGTTGTTGTACTTTGAGAGCGAAACCGCTACCTAATATTCCCTGAAGTTGAAATTGAATTATTGAATTACGTATATAAAGAGTATTGTGCTCTGTTCATTACTCAATAATATACTTTAAAACTGTCAATGTGTTTTAAACAAAATATTAAAATCCCAAAATATTTCGCTATTACTTAAAAAAAAATGGAGCACTTTTGACCAGTAATTTTTGTGTACCTTATTGAATTCAATATGAATGATATCAGAGTTACTGAAAGACTATGTGGATTTGAGTTTGTTCATAGCCATTTGTTACAAAACTCTAAAATTTCAATGGATTGGTCGATTAACAAACATATTTTTACAATTAAATGACATTATCTAGAGAATTATTTGAAACTAACGAACACTGCAAAGGATTAATATTATCGACTGTTAGTCAATGGAAGCAACCACTAAACAATTCAACACAAACCTATAGGTCTTGCAGTTGACCTATAATTAATCAATTACTAAGTCTGAACAATCTAATTACAGAAATTAAATTAATAGATTATTCCATTTATTGTTCAAAGTTTATCATTTTGTAAAGTCCATTAATTAGTTGCTGTTTGAGATTCTGAGCTAATTCCATCTAGTGATATTTATCTAACAGCTTTTTCACAGAATTTATTGAAGTAGCTGAATTAACAGTGGTTTAGTTTCGTCTCTTTATGACTAAAATACCAATATTGCTATAAACTATTTATTTTTATATTCATTTGGTGTTGTTTTACGCGTATCTTCCTATTGTTATTTAGGACTGCAATTGATCAGTCTCTTGTTGGCATATGTGCATCCTGTGAGGACTGCCTCGATATATCCTCAAGTCACAAGCTTTATAAGCAAAGATGCATGATGATTAACAGTGGAATCCAGGACGTGCATTTCGTCCTATTTGCGACCCGTTAGCTGGATTTACCTGCTATATTTATGATTATCCCTTATGTTTCTGATTGTAAGTAATCTGTTCTTCATATGTTTTGACATTAGAAATACTATATCACATTTCGTTTCATAATGGTTGTTTTTTACCCATGTATATTTTTCTTAAAAGAAGTGTTATGGTTGCTGTTTCTTACTACATTATGCATTGTCTAAGGGACTGTTTTTCCTGTTAATCGGTAATAATTTGTCACACATGAATAAAAATTTAGCTCGTTACACTTACAAATCACTGGTCGTGATAACTGTAGTTATTGGGATAAACTACTGTAAATCAATTCTAGTTGGTAGCATTTCAAAATCGATTATTCAACTTTTCAATAAATTCAATATATTTAATGTAATCCAAATGTAAAAACTTGATTATAATACAACGGTTCAATGACAAATAATATTCTGGAGACACCATCAGTTATAGATTATTCTTATAGGAGATATTTTCAAAATCAGAATTTGTGGATTTATTAAATCTTGAACAAAAATTGGCATAAAATAAAATGAACTAACGATTGTTTACCGTCAGATAGTGGTTGGAGGTAGTCGACAGGAAACCCTGCATTTTTAATGAATCTGTTTTGTATTTTTAAAGCGATCATTTAGTTCACTAGCTTTATTAACTTTCCGGAGAAGATTTTGTAAATTCAAATAACTTAGAAACAAACACAATTTATTGGTTTTCATCTTAAAGTTCATTTGATAATGAGACTATAATTTATGGGTGTCCTTTAAGCAACGCTAAAGTGAGCTTGAGAGTGTTCACTTAATAACTAGAACCAAATGAGGGTTCGAGTTGACTATAAATTTGCTTCTGTATTTGCTCGCTCTGCTTCAATTCGCTCGATATGCTTGTAACTTAGTTTTCTGTGTTATCCGCTAACAAACTGTAGATGTCGCTTCTTATTGACTTCTGAATTCAAACACCGTTGGGATTTATATAATAACGGTTATCAAAGTAATTAATTAGGGAAGCTAAGCCACTACAAGTAAATCTCTGAAATACAGATGTATCTTCCTGAATAATTTTAAATTTTGTGAATAATAAATATGTCAATCTGTTTAAGTAGATAACAATATATCATTAGAACTTTAAATATATAAATTACATCATTAATTGCCCATTATTAGTAAAAACCAAAAAAAGATTTTGATATATGTATATATACATATATATATATATATATATATATATATATATATATAATATAGAAATAATAAATACAATCATAAATTTCACCCCTATGAGAATATCCGTAGAAGTTTTGGAGATTTATTCACAACAGTTGTCCAACGATAAATCAATACTGTAATATATTTATATTGTTGTCCAATGTCATTTTTTTCGTTTCATTCAGTGACCTTATTATGCAATATGACATGTATTGAGTTTTGTCTGCTTATATAATTATCAATAACTGAGTGTGTATTGATATTTAAAGCAGAGGGTTCTAAGTTCGAGTCTCAGTGTAAGCATTAACACAGGGATTCATACATTCGCAGCTTTTAAGTCTCAAATAAGATAAAACGTGAATTTCTTTGTTAATCACAATCCATCCATTTTCTAACTTGTCTTGTTAAGTTTTTTAAGTTTATGATTGAGATTATGAATCGATGAATGTTAAACCATCATTGAAAATCTCGCATGCGGGATAGTGGATATACATCGCTGAGAAGCACCATCCCATGACGGAACAGCCATCCGGTACTTGCAGGTTTTCAATGGTGGTCTAACACTCATCGATTCATGATCTCAATCAAAAAAAATTATTTCTCTGTTCATTGTCATTATTTTTATCATTAGCTTATGTATAATATATTTGGTAGCATTTTAAAGATTATAGTTTTATTCAATATTTCGTTTACCAGTCATTTTATGCTACTTAGTCAAATTAAGACTGACTTACAAAAAAATGATTTGATTTAAAGATGTGATAGTAAATTAAATGTACAACGATCAACAAAAATCATGTGATATTGAATATTAAAGATTTTTAGTTGTAAATTCAAAGATTGTCAAATGATAATTCACTTTGCTTATTGAAAAAAGCAGTGACCAGAGGAGTTCAAATAGTTCTGTTGTGAGACAGTAACTCACTAAAGACCTTGGTGGACGTGTGGCTCAATTTTGTGGATTGGTTGAAGTTAGACATTAACACCGTTGGATGCTAGACGGCTCAATGGTCAGGAAGTTAAGCGTTTGTGCGCGAGACCGTTAGATCCTTAGTTCGAATCCCGTGAAGCGGGATCTTGGATGCGCACTGCTGAGAAGTCTCCTACTAGGACGAAACGGCCATCCAATGCTTCTAGGTTTTTTTGGTGGTCTAGCTTTAATTGACTCATGATCTTAACTATTAAAAAATTAAATTTTTTAAAGGTATCATAACAACAAACGTTTCAGTAAACATTCAACAAATTATGATACATTAAAAATAGAACTCTAACAGAACTATATTTAACATGTGCAAAATGTTAATTCATCTATCATCTTAATTTATAGCTGAAAGTGAAATAACAATATACACTCTTAACTACTAGATTGGGAAGTGTTAAAATTTAAATTAATCATGACTGTTATTAATGAACCATCTGAATGTTCAGAACAGTAAAATAAATCACAAACAATAATGATGGCTTATGTACCCGAATAACAATGTCTTCAATGATATAAACCTAAAATATTTCTGAACTATCTATGTAAAGTTTTAAACCAAATATATATGTAGGACAATATACATACGGTAACATAGTAAAATTAGGATAAAAAATTAGTGTAGCATGATGACAGATGTAACAGTGGCTAGTCTAATGATAAGTATATTGAAGTTAATATCAATTAGGGAATAATTATACGAAAGTTTATAATAGGTCAAAAATTCCAGTCAAAAGTTTCAAAAGTATATGAAACAACAAAGGCATCAAACAAAAAAAAGAAATATTATTAAGATGTATTAAGAACTTCTCTTCAATACAAAAAACCATAGTTATTAGCTAGAACTACTATAACGTTTACAGTTTTTAAGAGGAAAGTTCTAATTTCATTTAAACAAGTAATTAATAGTTATTGTTGATCAAGTATGACATAACGTAAAAACTTTTCGATTGTATATGAAATATGATAAACAATCCAGATGTCACATCTCTAAGCATTTGATAAACAGTGAAGAACAAAACTTGGTTTGTTTAACAAGTAAAATGTACATAAACCTTTCTTCTTTAAATTCATTGAAGTTCTTTCCAACTATACTTACTGGATATTTTGAAAAATCCTATCGAGTTATTATCCATTTCATCCTTCCGTATTAAGTAAATATTTATCATTTGTACTAATTTTGGTTTCAAGTTGTGAAGGTCAATGGATTTTGGTTTATTGGTTTATTTAAAAAAAAACTAACTGTCCTCTGCTTATCATTATTGGTAAATCTTTCATTATATTATTGACTATTATTTGTTATTTATTTGTCATGTTAAACCCATTCTGTTTAAACTACATGCCTAATTATCTTAGATTGAATCATTAATGGTTAAAAGTGTTTATTATTTTAGTTTCATTTGAATTTATACAATAGAAATAGTTGAGAATTTGTATGTAAGAATCACTAAAAGAATAATTTTTTTAATGAATAAAAACTCACAGCAGGTAGAGCGAAAAATGAGATACCAGCCAATGCACAAAATGCTGCAATAATTTTCCCCATCCATGTTTTAGGCACTGTATCTCCATAACCGACTGTACAAAGAGTAATCTGATGAGTAAATTGAAAGAAAGAATTAAGACAAAAAAAATGAAGAATTGGATAAATAGTTGAATCTTTCAAAAGTTTATTAAGAAGATGACAGTGTAGTTTAGACTCAGTATAGAATTTATTCACTATTCAAGTTGAATATGATTAAGAAGTTTTGGAAGAAAAAACTTAAAATTAACAGTATAAAGGTTGTGCAGATTAATAAGTTTTTGATTGGGATCATGAACCGATTGATGTTAGACCAAAAATGGAAACCTGGAAGCACTGGACGGCTGTTTGTCTTATAGTGGGACTCCTAAGCAGTGCGCATCCACGATCCCGCTCGCGGGATTTGAACTCAAGGCGTTCGGTCTCGCGCGCTAACGCTTAACCTACTCGACCACTGAGCCGACATTCAACGGTGTTAATGTCTAACATCAATCAATCCACGAGATTGCGCGACCACCTACCATTGTACTGAGGTAGTACCTGTCTCTACCCGACATCGATTAGCTCTACTGGTCACCGCTTCTCACTAGAACTCCGAGAATTCCCTCACGAAGCTAGTCACTAGTGAGAACATGGTAATCACCAGTATAGGGGCTGTGATTATTATTAAGTTTTTGATTGAGATCATAAACCGGTGATCTAACATCAATCGGTTCATGATCTCAACCGATTAAAATAAAATTGTTGATAAATCCTTATTTTCAGAATGAGTATTTGTCGAGATTGTAGCCGTCCAATGCTATCATGTTTTCCATGATGGTCTAGCTTATATCAACTCATGAATCCAACTGTTATAAAAATTATTTAATTTATTTTAGTATCTGCGGGGCAATCTTTAGGCATTATTTTTATGAAGTTTCGTTTTCTGAGCTGAATGGTTTTGTGATGGAACTTTCATCGCTCATCTGAACAACAAAACCATTTTCATCAGTATAAACTCCAAGTAGAAGTTTATCAAATTATTTTGTCAATCTAACTAATCAACCCGTAAGTTAATTACTTTAGATAATCGTTTAGTTCTATAAAGTGTTTATATTTACAACTTAATAATGAATGTTAAAAACTAATTGCAAACTACCCAAATCACTTTAAAATGTTTTTTTTGTTATTTTTTTAAAAATATAAACCACAAGATTAGTTGACATTTAAATTTTGCCTAAGATAATTAAACAATTTATAATAAGATTTATATTATAGAATTATTCATAAGTGTGTAAAGAGAATGACAAAACAAATTATTTGAATTATGTGTTGGTTAAAAGTTAATACATAATTATAATAATCTAAAGTAATATTAATGTCAGATGAGGTTTTCTGGAGATTTTATTAATATTATAGTTGAATTCATGGAAATCCATGGAAAACCTGGAAGCATTGGATGGCCGTTACGTCTTAGTATGGGACTACTCAGAAGTGCGCATCCAAGGTTCCGCCCCCCGCGAGATTCGAACCCAGGACCTAACGGTTTCGTGTGTGAATGATTAGCCTCTAGACCACTGAGTTTGCCGGCATCCAACAGTGTTTTTGTATGAAACAGTTACAGAAATAACATATCAATCTTTAAACCATAGTGATGTAGCGTAAGTCATCACTAAAATTTTCTGACAAATAATATAAGTGTATTGGGAAAATCTTATAGTGATCTTTGTTATACATACTAATTACTTAAACATTTAAAATAGTTAACACAGTGTTTCGGTTAATCTAATTAGCCTACAATTTTGAACAGTTCGGTTGTATTCTAGTATATTCAGACATCCATTTATTTAAATCCAAAACAATCGGCTGAACACACCAAATGAAACATAGGCATAATCTTATTTAAACTAACCACCATGAAAATAAGTTGAAATCGATATAATATAGAGGCTATTATCTAATAATTTAATAATAATTTTAATCAAAAAGAGCCCTTTCAATGCCCTGGTACGACCGAGGGTGGGGAGACAGCTGTCCCACTCTAAATGTTTTCACATGGCAACGCGTATACAACGACTGACAGGGAAGTCCTACTTACTGCTTTCTCGCGGCAGAGGTGTTGCTTACGAAATCGAGAGGATGAAAAGCGAATGTCTAACGCTTTAACCGAGTTCATGGATGAGAAGGATTCACCTAAGGGAGTTGGAAAATCCTAATACCAAACCAATCGTCTACATGGGCTACAGGATCCTGATGGAACGAATGGTGTATAAACCCATCGTTGGTCACCGGCTACGATAGAGCTGTATCTCTTTATGTTGCTCCACTGCCTCTTGGATCTGTCCTTTAGGTCGAAGGCTCGGTGCGTGACTCCTAAGAAAACTATCTGCTTCGGTTCGGGTACCCGGATAGTACCATAGCCCACACACAAATCAAGTAACTTGCATAGTGTATATGTATTCGGTGCCCCTTTGTACCAATATTTATGTGTTCAAATAAATAAATAAACAATAATCATAAAGATGAAAGCTTACTCTAATTAAAAACAGTTTTAGAAATCATAGAGAAAATTTATATCTTCCGATCACTTTAGTTGATGAGTGTTAACGATGTGGTTTAATTGGTTTATCAAAATTTGGTTGCTATTGAAAACTATTTATGGATTTTTTTTGAAAACTTGTCATCATATATCATTGTTACCTATTCTTATGTATAATTGTTTACATAGATGTAAATTGATGGAATATAATGGAATGTGGTATATTTATTGACCTAATGTTTTCGATAAATCCATATACTTTTATGGTAAAAAGGTTGTAAGTATGCAGTCTCAGAAGATGACCAAACAACTAACTATCTTATTCTCATTTGTAAAATGTCTTAACAACATACATTGACAGTGATTCCTATCATAAGAGTAAGGTGTGAACTGTGATAGATGGATGTACAGTCCAAAAATTAACGACTATTATTAATTGTTATCACGTATCTTTACATTTCATTAATAGTCAGGTATTACATCATGATGAATTCATATAAAGCACCCTGATTATTTTCTTAGTTGCTATATGGTTTGTTTAAAAATTAATGTGACAATTCTTTTATTATATTAATTCATTATTATAAAAAACGGAAAATCCACTCTATAAGATGAAAAACTATAAGTAACATGAGAAATTCATTCAGAAATATTAAAAAGTAACAAACAGATATTCAGAAAAAAATCATAAATGCGATAGTAATATTGAATTATACAAGGAAAGTATCCGTTAGAAAGTAAATAGACAGATTGGCTTTGAAAATATAGTAAGAGAAAAATCAACTCTCAATTTGTTTTAGTTTGAGAATCCTTAATGGTGGTTTTGATTTGATATCAGATCATAACTGATTAGTAATAGTAGTCTAATGGTTAGGCGTTCGCATGTGAGACTGATAGGTCATAGGTTGAAATCTCACCGGGTGGAATCGTGGATGCGTACTGCTGAATAGTCACATATATATCAGTATGAAGATTTGTGAAGATTGTAGTACTTTAACAGTTGAATTCACGAGTCAATCTAAGCTAGATCATCATTATAAATCTAGAAGCAATGGACGGTCGTTTAGTCCTAGTATGGGACTTTTTATGAATCGGTAGAACCCAGAAATGAACACCTTTGGATGCCAACGCACTGGTCTAAAGATTAATTGTTTGCTCGCAACACTAAAGTTTGAGTCCCACACGTAGGATATTAGATGCGCACTGCTAAAGTGAATCCAACTGTCAAAATATATACATATATTTAAATGGAGAAAAAACATATTGATGATAAATATTGGGATGTAAACAAAGCTGATTGAGCGTTTGATACTCAAATACCTTTTGGCAATAAATACTAATTTTATTTAAGTGATAGTAGTTGAGATCAGTCCGCTCCTGATATATAATAACAATAATAATAATAATAATAATAATAGAAATAACCCATTGTGTCATTGGATAAGAAAAAGATAATTCAGCAAAAAAACTTTCTTTTCGACAAAATCATTCACTTAACCTGTACATTCGTATGTACAGTTCTATGGAAAATATATGTTTATAGGAGGATATAAAAGATTGCATCATAAATGGATTTGAGACTAAATATTAAATGAGGTTGCGTACTAATCCAAAAGTAAGGAAGAATATAATATATAACAATATATACGAATGTATAGCTTAAGTAAATGAGTTTGTCAATAAGAAAATTTTCTTCGCTGAATTCTCCTTTTCCTAATAATAATAATAATAATATTTACAAGCCCTGGATTCGAATCTCACGAGGCCGGATCGTGAACGCGCACTACTGAGGAGTCCCACAATAAAACGAAACGACCATCCAGTGCTTCCAGGTTTTTCATGGTGATCTACCTTCAACTGACTCATGATCTCAACTATTAAAATTACTATAATATCTACAAAACTACTTCTGACAATATTTATATAATTATTTAAGTTGACCATAGAATTAAGTAAACATTAGTAGATATTATATTTCAATAAAAAGAAATCCCCAAAAAAATTAAAAGAATAAAAGATTTTACTTAAAAATTTGTTCCCATTATTAATGATTAAAAAGATGATCGAATTCTATTAAAAATTCTGATAATAATATAAAACATTTAATTGAACTATAGAATAAATGTTTGATTAATCGAATTTGAAATCAAAATGAACCGGGTTCGTTTTTTTTCTTTCTATTAAGAATATCAGATCATAATACTAAAAAGTGTTTAAAATTAAAATATTTTTATTTCATCTAAATAATGATCAAAATTTCATTCCACCTGGCAACAAAGTATGATTTTTTTTAAAAAAAATTAAAAAAAATAAACATCAAACTAAGAGAATTCCATTTAGAATAAGATCAATAGAGGCATAGTGATTATGATTGAATGAAAATGGATTTATTTAAACTTTAAGTATCCGAATGAAATTACTTGAAGAGTATTTTTTTTTTCTTTCTCAACACCACTATTCTTTAATTTTATCAAAGAAATATACATGAAAGAAAATCAATAAAAAGATAAAATCAATAATATTTATGATATGTTTTTCTTATAATACAGTTAAA